GACATCTCCTTGGTTTGTGATCAAAGCTTAAAAAGGCCCCCCAGTCTTTCAAAGTAAAGAACTAGGTTGAAAGGTATATGCAAAATGGCATGAATTCTATCTAGTTAGTTTGTTAGCTCAACGACTCTTTCTGGTTACCAATAGATGGGCCCAATGTAAATTGTGAGGAGGAAACTGCGTTTTCTACACAATTCAAAACAGCTTGATCGGGGATTTTTAAACCACCAGGAATCCATGTGATCTGATAATTGCTGCCTCCACATTAGTATATGTACCAATATACCAATACCAATAAAGGCTAGGTTTGTTTCTGGTAGATTGTGAACACTGAGTACCCCAAGTTTTATGTATTGGGTGACGTTAAACTCAGTGTCTGAATTAAACTGCCTGACTGACTATATTATAATGCCTCATTCACATGGACAAAATATACTTATGTAAGTAAATTTACTCATGGAGTATATATATTCACGTGAATATTTACATTGTGTTCACAATCAGTGTTAATAATATTTTCAGGTATGATCTTGTGCATTTAGAATTTCTTCAATCATTTCTAGCACCATGTATATAATATGCATAAATCTGCAAATCTTAAAACCTGTTCCCATGACCAAAATATTCCTGGAGCATTTATGCTTTTAAGTAAATATACTATTACTGGACCTACCTAGGTGTAGCAAATATGTTTTTACTTATGTCCATATATTTACTCAAGCAAGCAAATGTGTTCACATGCTACCAGAAGTAGATTAATTTACTTATGTAAGTATAAATGTATCCAAGTGAATGAGGCCTAAATGTAAGTAGGTATATTCTGATACAGATGCAGTGTTAGGGAATGGCATCACATTATTTCGTGATAATCGATTACCGGTAGAATGTATCTTCGCTCATGAAAGCTTGTGGTGACAGCTTGTTCTCAATATCTGAACTAAAGTACTTTAGTCTTAAATGACAATTTGTCCTCTGAAGTTTAAGCCAAGAGTGGCCTTATTCCACGGACTATACATGTAATAGTTCTGTTAAAAAGTCTGTGGGTACATAGGCGTGTATATGTAACTGCATAGAAGATTCATACATTTGGAATTTTGCCTACAATTGCCTTAGACAGTGCAATTTTGGTATATATGTTTTACACATCACTATTACGTTGTTAGATGTTCGGTTTCTATCCGAAACGGCAAAGTTCCTAGAATTTGTTTTCGAATTGGTCACAGTTATGAAAGAGAAACCCTGAATATACATATTAGACAAAAACAATAGTGAAACATATGAAGTGGAATCAAAGAAGCCATTATGCGTTTTTAGAAGTATTTTCATTTCGTCGAAATGTCTCTATGTTGATATAAACACCATTCCTTCTGTTTGTAATAGTTCTGTAAAGTCGATGGGGCATAGAGGCTAGTATAGTTAATTTTTTTGTATGTAATTTACACATCCCCAGTATCAATAAAAGGTGTTGTCTCAATAAAGAGAGGTACACACACTGGAACAGGGTGTAGTGCGAAATGCTGCCAAGCCTGTACCTTGCTTGCGATAGCTGTACTCAGCCAGCAATACTTTTGCTGAATGCGTCTGTACTGATACAGAGTTCCAAATAACCTTTGTTATCACTAGGGGTTTTATTTTGATTCAACTTACAATCAATGTAATTTTCTGGTTTTTTTTGTAATAGTGTTCGGAAGAGTCTGTGGGACACCAGGGAGACTATATAATGTTGTAGAGTATCCCTGGGGACACACAAAGCACACAGGGGGCGGTGGGGGTAGCGGATAATGCCATCGCTCGTCACGCTGAAGATCCGGGTTCGATTCCCCACATGGGTACAATGTGTGAAGCCCATTTCTGAGAAAAGGTCATACACATAGTTCCTGCGGAGTCTGACCACGGTTTTCCAAACACGTAAATCAAACAATCTCCACACCCAGACCAAAATCACAAATTTACTAAGAAGCACCAGTTAAAAACACACAAGACCCATCCCAAACAAACATCTCCCACTATCATCCTGACCTTCAAAGGTACCAAACTTCATTGCAAAATTGTTTTCGGATCAATCACATGCAAAATGCACAATATGGACAAACACAATTAAACTGTAAAAACCTAGACAGACGCTCACAATTCAGCTCCGAGTCCTCAACAACTCTGCATGCAACCAACAACTTTCGTATATTGCCACCACTATGATCATATCACCTTTTAAAACTCATGCCCATTCCCCTAAAACCAAATCGCGCGGCTTGTCTAGCATTCTCATGTGGTTGTGGGACAATCCAGCACAAGCTTCAGCTGTTACCAATGCAGCCCAATAATCCCATAGACACTGTAGTAATAATGCACAAGTATCTTTTACAAACCTCACTCGACACACTCCCCGCATCATACCAAAAATCTAGACTAACAACTGGTCTCTGAAATGAACATATTTTACAGAAAAAAAGCTCATAGAAAAAACATCAAATATGATGAAAAGGAGCCCTGAGACTTTCTTCATTTTTAGAAGCTGTGAAAATCTGGACTTGCCACATTTTCTAGACTTGCGTGGGCTTTCTTGGATATATTTGCTTCTTGGTCTGTATGACAGACTAACAAAAACTCCCATGCAATTAAATCACTAAAAAAATCATAAAAGCTCAATCCACACTCCAATAAAAATACTTAAAGAACAAACAATTCGCCATACCTAACAACACCGCACTAAAGAAACACTGCACATTACATAACCCAAATCTTCCAAATTACTGTTACATCGCTCCGTTAAACCAAGAACAAATAAGCACAGCCCGCTTGGAAACACAGACTCACATAAAAACGATAGAAAACACAAATATAACATTAGTAAACATATACAACCAAAACACAAAATAAAACGTTGATGCTGAAATCCTAGCAAAACATATGACAGATATTCTATCTTTCTAGAAGACTTGAAGGCGCATCACCAGAAAACATTCAGACACACATGATAATTACTATATTAAACTTTCTCCCTGCAATAGACTTGACCATTACTACTCCTAATCAGGCATGTAAATCTAATCGGGAAGTATAAGGAAATGACCACTTGTCTTCCCGATCTCAATCAAAAACTGGTACAAATCATACTCCAGAAAAACTTCACAAGACCGAAAGTTCAACCCCAAAAAGTAAAGACAGAAAGGAAAATAAATAAATATAAACATAAAAAAACTAGAAAATACTGGGACATATTGGGACATGTTCTGCAGTATTTTAAACAACCAAAGACACACAAATATAAAACAGTTTGACCACAAGTAGTTTGAGTTCAGAGTTTGAGACCGAGTTGAATCTGTCTTTCTTCTCTTGGTGTATTCTGTAAGTCTCAACGGGCAAGTCATAAGCTAAAGTACGAAATTATAATATACACATGTACGGGCTTTTAATGAGAAGCAGAACATTTAAAAATTGTGTTTTTACACTCGCGAGAAATGTCGTCAGGCTAACTGTCGACAGAAACCTCCCTCTGCCACAGCAGTGCCCCCGCCCCTCCCCTACCGCCACAGCATAGTCCCACACACGCAAATGTGGGTCACCAGATAGCGTCTCTCCTAGCACTGTGAGAGGGAGAGTGTTTTGCACGACACAATCCCAGATATAACATGTTATATTTACATGGAAGGTGCAATATTAGTCTCATGTGTTTTGGTGGTTGATTCATTCAATACAATCACAAAAATATGGGATTTGGGTATAACATCTCAATATCATCCCTGATTCCTAAATTTATCGCATTACAAGGCAGCATACAATGACAATATGGATTGGATATTCAAATATGGAATGTGAATACCGGTAAGTTTGAAATACATTTGAAATTCTATTGAGTTGGGTTGTTTTGGTGATGGTCAAGGCAAACTAAAACCATTTTCATGTGGCAATGAACGCTGATTGCATTCAACAAATGTGTTATAAAACCCTTGAACTGAACCCGTATAATTTACACATATGTGTGCACATGTTAGACTAAACTAACGTTTAGTCTCTGAATATATAATTTTGATAGTAACAAACAAACAGGGAAGTGTGTGGAGGCAGCCAGTTTAATTCGGCATAGTGTAAAGTATGGAATGGATTTTGGAATTGAATTTGGAATGGAACAGTGGAATGGAATTTGGAATGGAATTTGGAGTGACACAAATTTACTATTTATAAACAAGTCTCCGCTCTAATATGATAAGACAGTTTATAAACAGCTGATCACTGATATATAGCACTAAGCAAAAGGACGTGGGTGTCAGCTTCTCTCTCCAGCCATGACCCATCCACCACACACTCAAAGGCACATGACTCTGGGGAAATAAGTGTTTAGTTCAAATACTATTTTCTAGGTTATGTAGATAATAAGAACAAGATGTATCGAAGAAAAGCCGATGGCATGTGCTGTCCACGTATCTAGACTTGCTTATTATGGGGATAGAATTACAAATATATATCCCTGCAATAATTATTCTATACATCTTTGAAGCAAGGCTAACGGGACGCCTGTATGGTGGCAGGCTCCATTCCAAAATCCATTCCATACTTTACACTATGCCGTTTAATTCCCCATGCCTCAATGAGTTTGGATTGGAATGATGGAATGGAATTTGGAATGGGAATAAATGGAATATACTCATCTTGTACTAAACAAACCAAGTGTTGTGCCTACCTTCAGACATAAATTAAATTGACAGTTTGTAAACAGTTCGGGTGTCGCTTTCCCTCCTGCTCCCAATTTCTTGCACCCCTCACCCCTCCGGATGTAAGATAAGGCTAGTGGCAGACAGAGGTGTGGCAATAGCCTGTCTCACAGTCCCTTAATCATTTTATTTTCCATTTACCACTGCTAATAATTTGAATTTAATGAGATGACTGGAATATTATCTACTAGCTGTGTAAGTCGATATAGTAGTACCTTGGTAAATATAGTCATCTGCATCTATGTCTATGGGATACATAGTTGAGTGAACAACTTGTTCTTATTTTATATATAATCAAGTAATTGTGATTTTAAGTGACAGTTACTGAGACTATGTAGCATTTGTGATAATATAGACATAATAGATTGCTTTTTATGATAATAAACAAGATTAATGTCAAAATTAGTTCTAATATATATGTTATTTTCCTTCACATGGTGTTCTGTTGTGCTTCATAAATATATCATGAGAGTATTGTGTTGAATAATCCGTTTCCTCCTCCATATATGTCTAATCCTGCCACAACACAGGCGTGCCGTTAGCCTTGCTTCAAAGATGTACAGAATAATTATTGCAGGGATATATATACACCTGGAACTTAATTAAGCACCCCCTGATATATTTCATGATAGTAGAGCAACTGTTACTGACTGACTGAGTTTGGTTTTACCCCACTTTTAGCAATATTCCAGCAACATCCAGTGCAATTTTGGTATATATGTTTTACACATCACTATTACGTTGTTAGATGTTCGGTTTCTATCCGAAACGGCAAAGTTCCTAGAATTTGTTTTCGAATTGGTCACAGTTATGAAAGAGAAACCCTGAATATACATATGAGACAAAAACAATAGTGAAACATATGAAGTGGAATCAAAGAAGCCATTATGCGTTTTTAGAAGTATTTTCATTTCGTCGAAATGTCTCTATGTTGATATAAACACCATTCCTTCTGTTTGTAATAGTTCTGTAAAGTCGATGGGGCATAGAGGCTAGTATAGTTAATTTTTTTGTATGTAATTTACACATCCCCAGTATCAATAAAAGGTGTTGTCTCAATAAAGAGAGGTACACACACTGGAACAGGGTGTAGTGCGAAATGCTGCCAAGCCTGTACCTTGCTTGCGATAGCTGTACTCAGCCAGCAATACTTTTGCTGAATGCGTCTGTACTGATACAGAGTTCCAAATAACCTTTGTTATCACTAGGGGTTTTATTCGATTCAACTTACAATCTATGTAATTTTCTGGGTTTTTTTGTAATAGTGTTCGGAAGAGTCTATGGGACACCAGGGAGACTATATAATGTTGTAGAGTATCCCTGGGGACACACAAAGCACACAGGGGCCGGTGGGGGTAGCGGGTAATGCCATCGCTCGTCACGCTGAAGATCCGGGTTCGATTCCCCACATGGGTACAATGTGTGAAGCCCATTTCTGAGAAAAGGTCATACACATAGTTCCTGCGGAGTCTGACCACGGTTTTCCAAACACGTAAATCAAACAATCTCCACACCCAGACCAAAATCACAAATTTACTAAGAAGCACCAGTTAAAAACACACAAGACCCATCCCAAACAAACATCTCCCACTATCATCCTGACCTTCAAAGGTACCAAACTTCATTGCAAAATTGTTTTCGGATCAATCACATGCAAAATGCACAATATGGACAAACACAATTAAACTGTAAAAACCTAGACAGACGCTCACAATTCAGCTCCGAGTCCTCAACAACTCTGCATGCAACCAACAACTTTCGTATATTGCCACCACTATGATCATATCACCTTTTAAAACTCATGCCCATTCCCCTAAAACCAAATCGCGCGGCTTGTCTAGCATTCTCATGTGGTTGTGGGACAATCCAGCACAAGCTTCAGCTGTTACCAATGCAGCCCAATAATCCCATAGACACTGTAGTAATAATGCACAAGTATCTTTTACAAACCTCACTCGACACACTCCCCGCATCATACCAAAAATCTAGACTAACAACTGGTCTCTGAAATGAACATATTTTACAGAAAAAAAGCTCATAGAAAAAACATCAAATATGATGAAAAGGAGCCCTGAGACTTTCTTCATTTTTAGAAGCTGTGAAAATCTTGGCGTGGGCTTTCTTGGATATATTTGCTTCTTGGTCTGTATGACAGACTAACCAAAACTCCCATGCAATTAAATCACTAAAAAAATCATAAAAGCTCAATCCACACTCCAATAAAAATACTTAAAGAACAAACAATTCGCCATACCTAACAACACCGCACTAAAGAAACACTGCACATTACATAACCCAAATCTTCCAAATTACTGTTACATCGCTCCGTTAAACCAAGAACAAATAAGCACAGCCCGCTTGGAAACACAGACTCACATAAAAACGATAGAAAACACAAATATAACATTAGTAAACATATACAACCAAAACACAAAATAAAACGTTGATGCTAGTTTGGACTAATCAGCGCATAGCACCTACGGAACTCACTTGACCACTGACCACAAACTAGTTTCATCCAGTTTCATTCTTACCTATATAAACCCCTTCTCACAGTGAGTTGAGGTTATCACTTACTATACTGAGTCAAAAAAGAAACTTCACAAATGTCATTTGAAAAATAATGAATAATGTTTCTCTGATGATACATCTATGTATCCGAAATGGGATCCCTATCTTTCGACTCCAGAAAAACGTTAGCAAAACCCACTCAAACCCATCCATTCGTCGTGCAAATGATGTTAGTGCCAAATCAGGTTTTGCACGTGCAGTCGATCACGTAATCTTCGCATCCTCGTTTTCTTCATATGCACATGTTTGCATTGGCCTCAAGAATTGAAAAAACACTTTTAAACCACAGTTCTAACGGTACTTGAAATGCCACGATTGTCAAATGTGCAACGTGAACGTGCCGTTGGCATGTTGCAATCGGGACGATTAGTTATTGACGTCGTAAGAGCAATGGGATGCAGCCGTCGTACTGTGTATGACTTGCGAGGTCGTCTACAACAAACTGGCACCACTTCTGATCGCCCAAGGTCGGGTCGTCCTCGTGTGACGTCACGAGCAGAAGCCCGTCAAATCGTCCTACGTCACCTACGTGACAGATTTCTGGCGGCTACACGAACCAGGGCTGAGATGTTTAGACGTCGACTGTCCTCACAGACCATTCGAAATCGGTTGCGGGCTGCCAATCTCCATTCTCGACGTCCATATCGTGGGCCAATATTGACGCCGTTTCATCAACGTCAACGTCTGCTGTGGGCCCAACGTCACCTCCGATGGACCCAGAGAGACTGGAATCGAGTCGTCTTAGCGATGAATCCAGGTTTACCCTCAGATTCGCGGACGGCAGGCATAGAGTCTGGAGACGACGTCGTGAACGGTATGCCCAATGTTGTGTACAGGAATACGACAAATTCGGGGGCAGAAGTTGCATGGTGTGGGGTGCTTTCTGTGGGAACAACCGTTCCCGACTTCTGGTCATCCGTGGAAAACTCACAGCTGCTGCTTACCGCGACCAGGTGCTCACCCCTGAACTCGTATCTTTCATGGCGGCTCATGGCCAAGGTCTACAGTTCCAGCATGATAATGCTCGGCCGCATACCGCGATGTTGACACGAAATTTCCTTCAAAACGCTGGAATCAACGTCATGGACTGGCCATCGAGGTCCCCTGACCTTAGTCCAGTAGAGCACATTTGGGATGCACTTGGGAGAAGGCTTCGTGGTCTTAGGAACCAACCTCAGAATTTGCAGGAACTTGGCGCTACCTTGCAAGAGCAATGGCGCAGAATCCCCAACCACGTGTTCACAAGCATCAGGCAGTCGACGAGGAGACGGTGTTTGACAGTGGTGAATGCGCGGGGCGGCCATACACGATCTTGAACTAAGAAATTTCGCATTTTTATTCTTGTGACTTGACATTCTGTATACCCATGTTTTGGAACGGCGGTGTAGCCTAATGGAACTGATTATGGCACTGTCAGTGTATCGAGTACATCACACAGATCTCAGCAATGAAATAATAACAATTTAACAATCTCTTGTTCTTTTATAGTGCCCTGAAAAAAGAAAGTGAAGTTTCTTTTTTGACTCAGTATACATGTCTCAAAACTCAAAGCGTGCACCGTTGAGGCATGGGGAATTAAACGGCATAGTGTAAAGTATGGAATGGATTTTGGAATGGAGTTTGGATTGGAATGATGGAATGGAATTTGGAATGGGAATAAATGGAATATACTCATCATACACTAAAGAAACTAAGTGTTGTGCCTACCTTCAGACATAAAATTAAATTGACAGTTTGTAAACAGTTAGGGTGTCGCTTTCCCTCCTGCTCCCAATTTCTTGCAACACCCCCACTCACCCCCCACCCACCCTCCGGATGTAAGATAAGGCTAGTGGCAGACAGAGGTGTCTCACAGTCCCTTAATCATTTTATTTTCCATTTACCAATGCTAATAATTTGCATTCAATGAGATGACTGGAATATTATCTACTAGCTGTGCAAGTCGATATAGTAGTACCTTGGTAAATATAGTCATCTGCATCTATGTCTATGGGATACATAGTTGAGTGAACAACTTGTTCTTATTTTGTATATAATCAAGTAATTGTGATTTTAAGTGACAGTTACTGAGACTATGTAGCATTTGTGATAATATAGACATAATAGATTGCTTTTTATGATAATAAACAAGATTAATGTCAAAATTAGTTCTAATATATATGTTATTTTCCTTCACATGGTGTTCTGTTGTGCTTCATAAATATATCATGAGACTTTTGTGTTGAATAATCCGTTTCTAATCCTGCCACAACACAGGTGCCTGCCACCATACAGGCGTGACGTTAGCCTTGCTTCAAAGATGTATAGAATAATTATTGCAGGGATATATATTTGTAATTCTATCCCCATAATAAGCAAGTCTAGATACGTAGACAGCACATGCCATCGGCTTTTCTTCGATACATCTTGTTCTTATTATCAACATAACCTAGAAAATAGTATTTGAACTAAACACTTATTCCCCCAGAGTCATGTGCCTTTGAGTGTGTGGTGGATGGGTCATGGCTGGAGAGAGAAGCTGACACCCACGTCCTTTTGCTTAGTGCTATATATCAGTGATCAGCTGTTTATAAACTGTCTTAGCATATTAGAGCGGAGACTAGTTTATAAATAGCAAATTTGTGTAACTCCAAATTCCATTCCACTGTTCCATTCCAAATTCAATTCCAAAATCCATTCCATACTTTACACTATGCCGAATTAAACTGGCTGCCTCCACACACTTCCCTCGTCTCACCCAGCCAAGGTGCAATATGATACCTCCTCAAGTTGTATTCAAAACCATTGGTCTTACATTAGCCTGGTTCACGGTCCCTGAGCCATAATATTTCCCTACAGTCTAGCCCTCCCTGTAGTGCTAAGGCTCTAAACGAAGTCTAGATTTCCCCACGGGTCTTCCGGGACTGCTTTTCAATTTAAATAGGTTTGTTTGTTACT